TGTCTGTATAATGTCTTGTGACGTCCACGGCCTACCCCAGTTACCACTACTGTGCATGTGTGTCAAGGACAGAAAGGCAGACGTGGCAGTGGAAAGTGTCAAAGCAGTTTGGAGAGAAAAACAAAGTAAAAAACTTAATTGATTATTAAATTAGTCATAGATTATTTTAATAATCGATTAGTCGTTGACTAATCGACTAATCGTGGCAGCCACAAAAGATTAGCTTAAATCTAGCATTTTGCTACATTTAGCTAGATATTTGATACTTTTATTTAGGCTTTTACTCATTTTAATTTTCAACAAGGACTTGGCTAATTTTACCTCTTTTATCTAAACTAATGTGACTTTATCAGTCTTACTTAGGTAATTTGATAGATAATCTAAATCGTGACTATTCAACTAAGTTGCACAGGGGGCCGTAGTTACTCAAAACCAACAGTTCAGGGTCCGAACACACGGTGGGCTGCCCTTCCATGGCCCCTAATGCTAGGGGAAACACTGCATTAGGTAAAATGGCAAGTCTTATTAGCTTTTACCTTTTCAGTTTGTTTACTTTGTTGAATCAAATCATGTTTAAAAATTACAATTGATTTAAAATCTATTTTATATTAAACTTAGTTTAAAAGGTATGCAATTATTTTTTTTTCTGCGGGGGGCGGGGCCTAATTGGCGGACCAGATGGAAGTCACCAGTTGAATAACTCTGATCTAAATGTATTCTGCTTAATGTGTTAATATTTAATATTAAACTAAACTTTCTAAAAAAATTGTGAAAAATGTTTAAGTAAAACAATTTGAACTACAAATTGGCAAACTTTACAAAAATGTTGACACTGTTTGGTTTTGTGCAGCTAAGAAACAAACGGTAAAGCACTTTTCAGAACGTCCGTCACTACACTGTTTGTTATAAAACATCTGCAGAGGACACACACCTCTCTCCTGGTCACAGTCTGGAGATGAAGCTCCACTGCACTGGCTGCGAGGGCCCAGTACTGGTGAGGTGTGTGCAGAACCACACACAAAGTCTGGGCTGTGAGAGCTGCAGGGGCGCTCAAACTCCAGACCACCAGGACACGAAGAGGACGAGATGGAGGAAGAGGAGGAGGGAGATGAGAGGGAGGTGGGGAAAAGACCAGGCATGCTGAGCGGAGTGGAGGCAGAAGGAGGAGGATGGAATGAAGAAGTGGATGGTGAGGAAGGTATCGTTTTGTGCGAGGAGGTGGTGGTGTGAGTGTCAGCCTCCTCCTCAGAGCTCTGACTGGCCTCTTCATCCATTGATACTGACACCACTGAAACAAACACACACAGTGTGTACGTTTAACACGAAGGCACAAACATGCACACACAAAAAAAGGAAAATTACAGATGCACCGTTTGCTTGATGGGTAAATCTGACTTTCTGCTGCTGAGTGTTATTTACTTTGTCAATAAGACATATTTTAGTTCAAGGTTTTTACAAACTGAAGACTATGAGCTACCTGCGTTATGAGAAGTAAACATCTTAGACCAAAGTGATTGTTTCCATTTGAAATTAGCTCCAAACTCAAACATGTTATAGCAGTCGATGCAAACAGTATTTTATAAACACCATCATCAGTTTCACATGATTATTTATATCAAAGTGTTTAAATGTAGTTGGTCTTTATTATATTATTTTATTCATGACTGGGATGATAGCAGCCACTTTAATCTTAGTCCACTTTTACGATTTGAAAAAACCCTTCCTTCCATTCATCCATGCAATTCATCCATCTATCTGCCCATTCATTCGTACGTTCGTTTGTTCGTTCGTTCATTCATCCAACTATACAATCCATCCATCCATGGATATTGAGTCCATCCATTTCCTTTTCTTGTTTCTCCATTTAGGTTTTTGGGGGAGCTGGTGTTTATCTCCAGCAGTGTTTGGGAGAGACGTTGGGTACACCCAGGACAAGTCATAGGGCAATGTGGACCCAAATAATCACTCAGACTTTAGTGACAATTTAGAGTTACCAGTAAACCAAAATTCATAATCAGGAAAAAGACATACTCTGTCAATTCTAGTTCTTAGAGAAAATTTCGTCCAAAGTCACAACTGGCAGGACAGGAATTTACAAAAATCAGAAATTACAATAATTGGCCTAGAAAACAGCAATCAGTGCATCTCTAACAATCCATCCATTTTCTTTACAAGCTTTTTTTTCCATGCAGGGTCATCTAACAAACGTAATTATGAAAAACATAAAGCGGATGAAGGGCAGGACTTGTGATTTTCAAGTACTCATCACTTACTAGACAAACCATCTGACTCCATGGTGAAATTGGCGATGTCATCGTGACCTTCGTCCACCTCCGCACCAACGCCACGCTCTCTGGTTCCTATAGCGAGGGAGCGTCGATGGGCATGGATCTCCTCTGAGATGCCCTCCAAGTTACGTAACGCTGTGCGGTACTCAGCCTTGGCAGCTGCAACCTTGGCCTGACGCTCATCCACTTGGCGTTTCAGCTCCTATGGGGGAAAAAAAAAAATCAATAAACACATTTTAACTTTTATACCAAAAACAATACCTAAAGCACACAATTGAACAGAGTACACATACCTCCAGCTCCACATAATATCTGCTTTTCAGTTCAAAATAGGGTCTGCAAGAGAAAAAAATGAAAAGAATATAAAAAAGAGGTAAGGAGAAGTATTTCTAGTCCAAAAAGTTGAAAAGAAAACCACTCCTCCAGAAGCAGTCACATTCTTTAGCTCTTAGAGAAAGAGTTCACCCCAACACAGCTTAACCAAGACATAAAACATCTGGACAGAATCACATGACATAAACTGAGCTCCTCTTCCTCAGCACATTCTCATTTTAAGAGGCCTAAGCAAGGAAAGCTTGTGAGCATCATTTCCAGCCAATTGTAGCATCAACAATTTTAAAAAAAAGTATGAGTACAGACAGGGTTATTGTGGTTAGCTAAAACTAACTAAATAACAAAAACTGAAGTTGAAAAAATATTTTAGTTAACAGAAATGAGTAAAAACTGTAATAAAATGACAAAATAATGATAACTAACTAAAACTGTATAATCATTTTACAAACCTAACTAAAACTAACTGAAATAATAGAAGATCCTTAGTTTTAGTGTTTGTCAATTTATTTTAAGTCATGTGGACTGATTAAACAAATCGTTTTTTTCTTCAAACTTGCAGTTTCACATGAGCTACGAGCATCTTATAGCACCTCATGGCCCGTAACGTCATTTATTTACAATTTGCTGCAGTACTAGCCTGAAAAATGACAGCAATAAAATTTGGAAGAAAGCAGCAAAGTTCAATTTGGGATTTTTTTCAATGACCGTGAGAAAAATAAAAGCAAGCGTCTTGTAGTGGAAACAGGTGATAAAAAAGGGATGAATACTTCTCACGGGACTAACTAACTGTGAGTTAGTTGACAAGCTCTCTCAGTAGCCCCCATGAAAAACAAGCAACAGCCTGGCCAGGTAGCCCCGGGTTGGAGACAACTATCATTACCTTCCTAAAATAATCACCAAAGAACTTTGTTGGCAAAATTAAGTTATGTGATTGTTTTAGGAAGATGGTTGCTATAATGCAGTGGTTCCCAAACTTTTTACCTTTTGACCCACAAAATAACAGTAGCAGAGACCTGTGACCCCAATTATTTTTGGATGGTAAACATTTGTATCAGGTCAACAAAACAAGGGCATAGTAACAATATTTTTATACTACATTTATCCATTTTAAATATACGAACCTCACTCATTTATAACAACTAAGGCAAAAATGTAATTGATTCAGAAAATGTTTTCGGGACCCCACTTTGGGTCCCGACCCCAACTTTGGGAAACACTGCTATAATGGACTGTTTTCACTGGTAACCAGCTGGTTAGTGAACTCACAAGGACACCTCAAAAGGGAGTATGCATCAGCATAATATGTTTATTCAAACTATAAAAAATATTAATTCTAGAACTAGTGAAAACTAAACTAAACTAAAACTAAGCATTAAAAAGGCAATAATAACTAATAAAAACTAGCAAATCCACTGTTGAAACTAATTAAAACTAACTGAATTAAAACTAAAGTATAATGAAAAATCTAAAACTATTATAACCTTGAGTACAGACCTGGATTTGCTTATGGAGCGCTTCAGCTTCTTCTCCAGCTGCCTCATGTGGTTCATACAGCAGGTGTACACCACTGCTGTTTTTCTGTGCTCTGCTTCAGTCTGTGCTTTCGCCTGCTCGGCCTCCATCACCTGAAACAAACAAGAAATGTATTTCAATTATAAAAGCCTACAATTTTCACTACTGCGGCAGAGAACTTCTTGTTATTATGAAATGATTTTTTAAAGCCTTTCATGGATGTGTTCTTACTTTCTGCGTAGCGTGGTTGAGCATTTCCTGCCAGGCTGAGTCAAACTGGCGAGTGTCCTCTTCAAGCTTCGCCTCTGCCAGGGCGATGGTCTCTTTGGCTGCCCGCAGGATCTCGACAGCTCGCTGGAATTCCTGAGTAGCTTTATGCGCTTCTACCTGGGCCTGAAGTGCAGAAAGAAAAGAGGTCACAATTATAAGTTTTGAGGAATATAATCGGAAAAAGATGAGCTCGTTCTCAGTGCAGGATGGACCAATGCTGTTCCTTGTCTCTGATCCTGTTTGTAGTGTTTATGGACAGGATCTCAAGGTGCACTCATAGAGAGGAGGGTGTCTGGTTTGGGAACCACAGGGTCTGATCTCTGCTTTATTCGGATAATGTGGTTCTGTTGGCATCTTTGGACCAAAACCCTCAAGATGCACTGGAACAGTTCGCGGCCGAATGTGAAGCAGCTGGTATGATAAGTCAGTTCATCTATATCTGAGGCCATGGTTCTCAACTGGAAAAGGGTGGAATGTCCCCTCCAGGTCGGATGAGAGTCTTTGCCCCAAGTGGAGGAGTTTAAGTATCCGATGGCAGGATGGAGCGGGAGATGGATTGATGAATTGGGGCCTCATCCTCAGTAATGAGCGGCTATGGTGTAGTGGTAGAGCAGCCGGCTTTTGGACCCGCAAGTCGCAGGTTCGACTCCACGCCATGCCCACATGCCGTTGTGTCCTTGGGCAAGATACTTAACCCCAATGTCTCTGATGTGTGTCCCATCAGTGTATGAATGTGATTGGCACTGATTAGTCTACATGGTTGATTGTACATGTTAGCTTTGTAGGAGATCTAGTAGAGTGCTGTGTGAATGGATAAATGAGGACACAGATTGTAGTGTGAAGAGCTTTGAGTGTCCTGGTTGGGTAGAAAGGCGCTATACAAGTACAGTCCATTTACCATTTAATGAGGACGTTGCTTCGGTCAGTCGTGGTGAAGAGAGAGCTGAGTTGAAAGGCAAAGCTCTCGATTTAATGGTCTGCCTTCTTTCCATCTTTCACCTAAAATATGGTCATGAGGTGTGGATCATGGCTGAAGGAACGAGATCTTGAGTACAAGCGGCCAAAATGAGCTTCCTTCATTGGATGGCCAGGCTCAGCATTAGATAGAGGATGAGGAGCTCCGTCATATGAGGAGAGCTCAGAGTAGAGCCGCTGCTCCTCTCCATTGAAAAGAGTCCGTTGAGGTGGTTTGGGCATCTGAGTAGGACGCCTCCTTTTAGAAGTGTTCCAGACACGTCCCACTGGTAGGAGGCGCTGGAGGGATTATGTGTCCTCTCTGGACTGGGAACACCTCAGGGTCCCCCAGGACGAGATGAAAAGTGTTGCTAGAGGAATGTGAGTTTCTCTTCTGGACTTGTTACCTTTGCGATCAGTCTACAGACAAGCATCAGAAGATGGAGATGTAGGTGTAACAGCTGTGTGACAGGGTTTGACATGACACAATACATCACTCAGATTCTATGTGTGCCTATTTTCAATTGGCTTAGTTGTTGCCTTTGTTGATTATCTTATAAAAATTGCTCAAATCTGCACAGTTATTTAGTCGACTGATCAGTTGGTCTTATGGATAACTTCTTACAACAGTCAAAGATTTCTCTCACAGAAAGACAACTGTGCTTTTGTGAGGAAATCTGACTCATCAATGGGTTCTTTTTGTCCACAGTCACAGTCAGCAGGGGGATTATTGTCACCACCCTGCTGGACATTATTAGACCCACTCTCTCCATTCAAATAGGCGTAAGATAAAGGTCAGAGTACTGGCTCATATCCAGCATGAAGCACTTTACAGTGACTCTGACTAGATTTCCTTGCATGAGATAATCAGGAGATTTTGGATTGCTAAGTGGTTGTAGTAGCTAAGAGCAGAATCTCCTGGGCTTTGACGATTAGAGTTTGCTGTATTGTATTTTTTTAGAGAATGGTTAGTTAAAGATCTTTGTGGTGTTCATAGCTTTTCCTGATGAAATACAGAGCAAAAATACCAGTGTTAATTTAACACCCACAGTGTTAGTTTCAACACCAACAAAGTGTCTATTAAATTTAAACAAATGCAGCTTTGCCATTATTAAAAATAAAAACAGACAGCAGATAATTTTTTCAGATGATGTCTCCTGTTGACTCATTTAGGCTTATTTTGCTGCTCCGTGGTCAAATATAATTTTTCTAACACATTTAGCTGTAATTAGTTATTTCATGCTTTAGAATAAAGCCTAATAACACCATGGCTGTGCCTCAATTTAAGGGCTACGTCCTCCGTAGTGCTCATTGGTGGGCCAGAGTTTGGAAAGTCATCATGGACCAAAGAATTTGTTGTATAGCAACTTAGTTGGTGACATTTAAGCTACAATAAGATGTTTAATATCATGCTATTACAAGTACTGACAATGGAGCTGAATTTTGTTTACTTTTAGCTGTACAAGCTCATGTACAAGTACAATACAAATTTTGAGCAGACCATTCTGTAACAACGAACAGAAACAATGGAAGCCACATGAATAAAATTAAAACAGATTACAAAATATTAAAAACCTAAATGGTTACTGGAGACACATTAAAAGAAATTTTCACATTACTATTATGAAGCCATAGTGCTAACAAAAAGAAAAAAATTGTATAGGTCCTCTGGACGGGTTCTTCTTTAATGAAATGTTTCGTCTCTCTTCCAAGAGACTTCTTCAGTCTGAGAGTTTCAGGCTTTTGAGTCCAGGACTCAAAAGCCTGGAGTGATCAGGACTCTGTACCACAGAGCAGACAGTGTCCCTACAAACCCAGGAGCCAGGCAGAAAGAGAAAT